TTTTAGTTACTCTCAATTTCCGGTCAAAATGACATGCCGAGATTTTACCTGTCTATTAAGAGCAAACAGTAATTCCTTTTAAAACATGGTAAAATAAATCCAAATCAGGAAACATATTTAAGAGTCGTCAACTTTTGCTTTAAAAAGGTATAGCCTATATAATGGAAAAGCAAAAAATGGTATTAATTAGTAAGCACAATAAACACTCAGCAGTCCCCTAATACCAATACTTACCAACATGGGAAGGCCAAACAGTTATATGAGGATGGGAATGATACCAGCCCACAACTCTCATGGGGCGACCTGTTAGTTCAGCCAATCTGTGTGTCTGTCAAGGTATTTTCCAAATGAGAGACAAACTTTGTGATGCTTAATAATGGCTCAGGAAGCATCTTGAGGATTAAAATAAACCTAATATGATTTAATGGCAATAAGAATGTAGTAAGGTTGCTACTCAAACTGTCCATTTAAAGCCAAAGTCTTTATTAATTTTTTTAATATCCATTCTGGATTTTATAGTGGTATCTATTACTGTATATAATAAATTAGATCCTGTTAACCCAATTTAGCAAGTGTTTGATCACTCAAATGCTTATCTTTTGAGGGTATTTCTAGACAAATGGCAGAGGGACCCTTTGAGTATGCAGCAGAGTCCTGCTCAGCACACGCCTGTGAGGAGGCTCCTCGAGGCCACAGAGAGGACCAGCAGAAAGGGTTAACGGTAAGCACCCCCAGCGTGGCTCAAGAAGGACCCGGAATAGCAGCTGTCCCTGCCCGCCGCAATGGAAAGCCCCACGATTCAGGACCCATCAGTTACCCAGCAGGGTCTTGCCTCAGCAGTGAAGACGTATTCACGGTAGCCTACAATCCACTCTGAGCAAACCTTAAAAGCAAGACTCGAAAGGGACAAACCCTGTCCAGGAATCTTAACAGCACCCCAGAGGAAGGCAAGAATCCAGGTGCCCAAGGGAAAATTCACAACGTCTGACATCCCATCTAAACCAGCCATGCCTACAATGAAGTGGGAAATGGAGTAGTGGTTGACAGAGGTTAGGCATGGCAAAGAGCAATGAGGTGGGGGAGGGCAAGTAGGAGGGGGAGCTTTGTGTCCATGGGAAAGTTTTGTATCTTGACTGCTGTGGTGGTTATACAAATCTACACAAAGTAGCTAGAACACCACACACACTGTATCAACGTCTGTCCTGGCCTTCATATTGTACGATGGTTATAGAAGACAGAACCTTCACGGGGAACCTGGACAAAGGGCACAAGCAACCTGACTGGACTATTTTTGCAACCTCCTATGAACCCATGATGATTTCCAAATAAAGAATTTTTAAAAAAGAGTTAAAATTTTGACTTGAATCTCTTAACCTCACCTATAGCTTGTTGGATAAACGATGAACATTTTAAAAAAGAGTTAAAATTTTGACTTGAATCTCTTAACCTCACCTATAGCTTGTTGGATAAACGATGAACATTTTAAAAAAGAGTTAAAATAGTTAATAAAATATAAGATGCAGAAAGTATACACCAAAAGAAAAGACTGTTAAATCTATGAATACATAAAAATAGAGAAAAAAACAGTCGAGTGGGAAAAAGCACAAGCTGTAAACAAACAGGCAACACTGCTGTTCTTAACACAAAGTACCAGTTCTCTGAATAGAGTACTTGTAAGTTAAAAAAAAAAAAAAAAGATGACCAAATCAACAGGAAAATGGACAATGCAAATAACCAGGTAACTCACAGAAAAAGAAACACAAACAACTCTTTAAAATGAAAATCGGAAGTTTACTCATAAGAAAACCACAAGGTAAAATTCTAAGATATAAAATAGAATTTTGTTGCCCATCAAATTGGCACCCAAACTTTGATAGCACACAATGTTTATGAGTGTGTAGGAAACAGGCCCTCTTGTACACCACTCGAGTACAGATTAGTAAACCACTGATCGCTACCAGTACCTGTAGCCTTTGCCCAGCAATTCCACCTCCAGGAACTGACCCTCCAGACAGACTCACATGTTACTCACTGCAGCACTGTCTCTAAGAGTAGATGGCAAACAGCCTAAACGTCTGCACAAGGACCAAAACCAAACTGACTGCCGCGGAGTTGGATCCGACCCATAGTGACCCCTCCTTGGGTTTCGGAGGCGGTATCACTACAGAAGTATGGCATGTTCATCAGAATGACAGGGACAATTTTTAAGATATCCTATTAGGTGGAAAAGGGTGAAGCACACTGTGTACCATACAGTACGATGTGTATTACACACTTTAGAAGAAAATCTTATGTGCGGATACATGAAAAACTGCTAACTGTGGTTGTCTTTGGGAAGAGACTGAGGCATAACTGTGGAACAGAGGTTGGAGAGAAAGACTTTTGTTTTGATTTGTAATACTTTTCTATACCTTTGGAGCTCTGGTGGCATAGTGCCTAAGGCATTTGAATGCTAAACAAAAGGCTGCCGGTTCAAACCCAAGAGTTACTGCTTGGAAGGAAGACCGAGCAATCTACTTCTGTAGAGATCCTGCTTTGGAAACCCAGGAGGGGTCACTATGAATCCAAAAAATGACTCTACGGCAGTGAGTTTGGTTTGTTTTTATACCTTTAGAACTGCATGCCATCTACATCATGTATTGTTTCGAAGTACTTTTTAGTTGACTCCAAGAGTAACCTTATGCAAAAGAACACTAAGGTACTAAACTCATTGATGCATCTTGAAATTGCTACAGCTGAAGTGTAGAGTCCAGATCAGGGAAGCAAATATTCTATGTGATGATATTTGGTTGTTATATTAATTTGTTTGTTGTTATGTGCCGTCGAGTCAGACCCGACTCATAGTGACCCCTCCTTGGGTTGCCGAAGCAGTATCATTACAGAAGTAGATTGCCCAACCTTAATATAGAATATTCCTATGGAATGTTGCATTTCTGAGGGGCTGTCTGTCTCAAAAGAAAATCTCTCCTGAGGAGTGAGATAGTGAAAGGCCTAGAAAGTGAAGATTGATTTTGGGGAGCAGTGGGAAAAGAGAGGGGAAAGGTTGGGAACAGGGAAGAAGGTGAAGGGGCCTCCAGATAGTTCAGTGTCCCCGGATTTAGGAGCAGCAATGTTAGAAATTACTAATTCTTCCACTAAGAGCTACAAAGGAGAAATGGACACAAATTCGGATTAAGCAACCAATCAGATCTTAGGGGTAAATAAGAAAAGTGGGGCCCAGTCCCCGGGAGGAAAGTTCATGAAACGATGCCCGCAGCAAGCAGGCCAACGTGACTGGGAAGCTTTGGAGCATGTGGGCATCCCTCCTCGACCACTAAGGATATCTCTGCCTCTGTTGAAGCCGCAGACAGCTGCTCGGGAGAAATTTCCACACGATCCTTCCTCTTGTCGGAGCGCCGCAAGATGATGACAGAATGAATGTGAATAATCTTCACTGTGTCAACCTAAAAGGAAAGTCACAGAAATGGTTATTTTTGCGACTCACTACCATCTCCCTTTGGTTACAGGTTAAAGAGCCCATCTTAGAAAACTGACTTTTTTTCTAAGGAATAATCAAATGTTTCAGAGAAAAGACACCCAACCTCAATATATACATAAAAACATATATATATATATACACACACACACACACACACACACACACACACACATATAAAAGCTACTATTTAGATCAATAGTAGCTTTTATATATGTGTGTGTGTGTGTGTATATATATATATGTTTTTATGTATATATTGAGGAGCTCTGGTAGCATAGTGGCTAAGGCACTTGACTGCTAACCAGACGGCTGGCGGTTCAAACCCACCAGCCACTCCTCGGAAGGAAGGTTGGGCAATCCTACTTCCGTAGTGATACTGCCTCGAAAACCCAAGGAGGGGTCGCTATGAGTCGGGGCCGACTCGACGGCACATAACAACAACAACAACAACAATTTAGATCAAGGCAGGAACTGTGAATGGATCAGTGAATCAGTCCTTGGTTTACAAGACAGTCAAACTGTTCACAGTCTGGTTGTGCAGCAAGTAACATATGTGAAAAGATAAACAGTGTTGCAAAAAATGTTGTAGGAACTCAGAGACAATTAGTCTCTTAGATTAGAAAACAACAATCTCCATAGAGATTAGCTATTTCGTGATTGCCAGAGATACAGGCAGATTTTATGTAGGTCCCAAATGGGTAGACAGCTATGGAAGTCGGAAAGTGTAACGGAGGTGTCTGGGAGACAAGCTACCCAAGCGATGGAGAAGACGTGCCTTAAAGGTACAATGACAGACCGTGGGAAGGCTGAGAAAGACAGTCTGGGTGAGAAAGTGCTGGGCCTCTAATGCCAAGGCATGCACTCCAGGATGAACTGGAGGAAAGAGAAGCATCTCTGACAGCCCGGGTGTGAGGTGATGAGAAAGTGCTGGCCAAAGCAGACGGCAGACACGGTGGAAAGAAACAGATTTGAGATCTCTCAAGAAGGCAAAATGCACCGAGTTTGGGAGTTCATGATGATGGACAAACTTAGGCTGGAACCGAGGTGGAACATGGGAAGATGTGCTCATTTTCAGATGAGTTTATCTCAGGTCAGAGGATATTCCTAGGAAGATGTTCTGGAAAGAGAAGGGGCTAAGGGAAAACATGGAAAATTCCCACATTTAATGCACAGGCCAAGGAGGGAGAGTCTGTGAAGGAACATGGGAAACACAGCAAACACCATGAAAGAGCCCAGAGTTGGAAGGAGAAAGAATGTCACCTACAGATTAAGGAAGGTAAGCGCCAAGAAATACTCCACTGGAGGTAGCAATGAGCATATGGCCGGAAAAAAGGAACGGAGATTCGACCTCAGTGGTTTTGAGTAGGAGGGGAGTGAGGTAGTGGCTGAGAAGCTCATTCTTTAAGAAATCCAGCTGTTAAGGGAGGAATGAGAGCAGGAGCCGCAGGAAGGCTGAGAAGATGTTTTCTTTTCTGAAAATGAGACTAATATAAGCACATCTGTATGCCGAGGGGAAGGAGCCCGGCCACAGGAAAAGGCGGAAGGCCTAGGAGAGAGGAGGCATATTTGATAAGCAAGGTCTCTGAGGAAGTGGCAGGAGCTGGCTTTGGCTAGGAAGAGAGTAAGGAGCTGGTGGTACACTGGTGACAGCACTAGGCTGATAACCCAAAGGTGGGTGGTTCAAACCCACTAGTGCCTCCCTGGGAGAAAGATGAGCCAGTCTGCTTCCGTGAAGACTGATTGCTTTGGAGACCCTCTGGGGGCAGATGTATTCACCATAGGGTCTCTGTGAGTCAGAACGGACTCCACGGCAGTGGGGTTTTCCAATGTGCTACAAGGACCATAAGAGCAGAGTTGGTACTTGTCCTGGTGAGTAGATTCATCATCCAATTGGACCCGAAAGAACACCCCACCCAGTCCCAAGCATGGTATAGCACCAACCAGATTAACCCCTTGCTGATGTCATTGGAGTTTCCATGAGACAAAATTGGAGCACACATACCTTTTCAACTGTTCGCAGCTCAGTCCCAGCATATGCAAATTTTGAGTCAGTCCTAGTAGGGATAAATTAAAAAAAAAAAAAGGGGGGGAACTGGGGTTTGGAATATAAAAAGGGATTAAAGCAAGATAACAGGATTAGCACTTCTGGTCCTAACGCTTTAGAACTGCCTTCAGACATGTGTCACAAGCAATGTGGGACTCAGCTGAGTGTGGAAAGCTAGCCCGCTGAAATCCTTGGTCCTACATGGGGGAGCTTGAGGTCACACTCGCTTTGCCTTGTAGTCCACAAAACGGTTACCTCCTGCTTTATCCACCTCAGGTGTCCAAGCTACTGTGGTTCAGTAGACCGCGTAGGGCTCAGGAGGGAAGGGGCAGCAAGCCCGCAGCAGTTTAGGCAGATCAACAGGCAAACGCCGCAAAGAAAGTGGCCTACATTTGGCTGTCATGTGAGGGCAAAGAGAACATAAAGGATATCCAGCAAGGAAATGGGAAGTAAGTGTCATCTGTGAAAGACATCAGAAATCTTTGTAATATGCTGCCTTGTACCCGAATTCATGGACATTTATACACATCTCAACTGAGACAGTACTACAAAATCGAGCAGAAACATGGTCAGAGTTGGGGTCCAAATGCAAGCTGATCAAGGAGGGAATCCTTGACTTTCGTTCATTTAAAATACAACCAATTTCCAAAACTATCAAAAGTGTTTTCATTTTGAGATAGCCATGGTCTAAAGTGCCATGGGGAGCTCTGGTAGCATGGTGGCTAAGGCACTTGACTGCTAACCAGAAGGCTGGCAGTTCAAACCCACCAGCCACTCCTCGGAAGGAAGGTTGGGCAATCTACTTCCGTAGTGATACCACCTCAGAAAGCCAAGGAGGGGTCGCTATGAGTCGGGACCGACTCGACGGCAAATAACAACAACAACAGCAAAGTGCCATGGTGGTTAAGGCATTGGTCAGTTAACTAAAAGGTCAGCAGCTGAAACCTAACCGCCGTTCTGCGGAAGGAAGATGAGGCAGTCCGGCGGCTTCCCTAAAGATGACAGCCTTGGGGATCCTATGCGGCAGTTGTACTCTGTCCTAAAGGATCGCTTCCAGTTGGAATCAACTCGATGGCAGTGGGTTTTTTCTGGATAACATAAAGATCATGAAATATGAGTAAACCGCAAGTGGTCTTACCTTGTGTCATCATTCAACTAGAGTGGGAAAGAAGAGAAACCATTATTGAGCACATTGTGTGCATGGGATGTACATGGATGCACATTACTCGCGATGACGAACAAATATTCTGTTTCCTCCCGGTCCTTGACGCCGGCGCAGCGCACAGGCAGCAGAAAGGCCTTCAGCCCGACCCCCTCTCCCGTCAGGTCGCCTGTCGCGCCTCCAGCTGCTGCTGCGACGCCCTCGGCGCCCTGGAGGGAAGCCCAGGGGCTCCAGGGGCTCCAGGGGCCCCAGCAAACCAGGCGCCGAGCACACGGATGTCCTCACGGCGCCCCGTGGCTTTGCGGCCCGCCCGGGGCCCCTTTGGGCCCATGGGGTGCCAGCCCTTTTAGAAACAGCACCGCCCGGGGGCACTGTGCACAGCACGGGCAGAGGGAGTGCGCCCAGGCGGCAGGCCATGCAAAGCCTCTAAGCGGCTGCCTGCGGCCTCCGCCTCCCTGGCCGCCGCGCGCGGCCGCCCTCAGCAGGCTTTGCGGCCAGGCCAGCCGACTCACCTCCCCGATACACAGCCCCATCACCTCCTCCTTCTCCGTGCTCAGAGCATGGTTGAGACACACTAGAAATGCGTCGGACTCCAGATGAACCGCCTGCACCACCTGCACCGCCATCTTGGGCAGGCCCTGCTCACAT